ATCCACACTGATTTTGTATCTAGCAATCATTAAGAGAGGGCTACTGAGATCTCTGACTGTAGCTAATGTTAATCCAAATTAAGGCAAAGAAAAGCACATTCGGTTCACATTCACACCAACTTCCACTGGTGAATGTGTGTGTAGTGGAAGGTTTTGCTCCTGGGGAGAGATCTGGGCCTTCTTAAAATGTGTAAGGCACTTTTGAGCTGCCCAAATAAATGTGCTGTATAATTAAAATCAAAGTGCTTGCTATGAAAACATAGCATCAACACACATCTTTCCATTCCCTTCACTCCTTTTCAACCTTCCTGTTTTCTCTACATATAAGCTTTATACTGTATATACATACTATCTATCTATCTTCCTGTATATAAATTCTGGAGATATAAATTCTGTTGCATAATAACATAGTGTTAGTGGTCTTGTGTGTTTCACACTCTTCAATATTATAACATAAAAAAAAAATTGGTATATTCCTGAAAATTCTAACCAAGTGCATGGAGAGACAGAGACTGTCAAGTTTTTTATCTGATAAATTGGAGAAATGGTTTAGAAATTCCTTGCATGATAGGACACTCAGGGTTCAAGAGACTCATGAGTTCAGGTAGCCAATTTTCTGCTAGAAGTATAGGATCTGGCTTTCTATTTTGCATTCCATAGCTGATACAGATACCTGAGAGATGATTGAGAACTAAATCCATTGTCTTTCTACACCTTTGAACATCTAGCTGCTTTACATATTTTTATATTTTGAACATCTATTTTTAAAATTTAGCTTGAATGCTAAATTGATAGATCTTTCAGCTTCGTTTCCCTGTTTATTTAGGTTAGATCCAGAGATATTTCCTGGGAGTTACTGTTTATAGATTGTTAGAGATGCCTCAGGCAATGTCGAAGCTATTGCATATGGCCAGTTTCTTGAATTATAGCATAGAAACTTTAATACCTACCTCAGGAATGACAGGGGTCTTAAATAGGCAGTCGTATTTACCAAAGAAACCTAGAGTTTTCTTAGATTGCCAGCCTTAGCAAGACAAAAAATGTCAGGGTGACAGAGTTTAAGTGGCTCTTTTCAGATACGTTACACTGATTCTCTGTATTTAAGACGCAAAACAGCCTCCTAGGAGCTATTTAATTAAGTGAAAGTAAGTCTAGTCCCTGTGGAACTGGAAGGTTCAGTGAGCAAACACATATCAGTGCGTGGAAGTGGGAAGCTATTATGTGCTTCATAGACATGGTGACACTTCCTAACCCCACATCAGGGATCCTAAACAGTGATTGGTTGAGAAAATTATCAAACTGAGTTTAAATCTCAGCAGGTGCAAAATTGTCATGCAAAAGTCCAGGACAGGGAGCCACTTTCAGTCTTCAAAGAGACAGTTAAGAAATTCTGGAATTTCAAAGTCCCTTTGAAGGCTTGTAAGGTAAGATGGAATATTCTTTTTACCCAGAACCGACTGATTTCTCTAGAAAGAACTTTGAATTTCAGAGAAGCCAAGTCGATTTTAAGAAGTGAATAGCCCTTTGCAATTGGACCTATTTCTTCCCTTTTGACTTGTTATACGGAGAGCATGTTTTGAAGGCTAATGGAAAATTATGTGGTAAGGGATAGATTTGGAAAAAGAAAGACATGTTACTGAAAAATTGGCCAACTGAGGTGGAAATTTGGTAATTATCTGATCACTTGGATTAGTTTTGATAAAAAAAAAATGAGATAACTAACTCATTTTTAAAATCCACCTTGGGCTTTCAAACAAGGCTTCTTATGAGGCTTTGCTTTTCGCTATTTTAGTATTTACGTGTCCAAATTAACTTGGTAACTGCTACATCTCATTGAACGTGTGACATAAGTGAGATTTATGAAAAATGAAATGATCTGAAAGAGGCTCACATAATTCCGAAGCCTCTGCTTCAGGCTGCCAACACACAGGCCTTTGCTATGTTCTTGCAAGCCATTTTCCTGCCATTTACCTGCCCTGGCAAAGAGTGACAGGCATCAACATGCCATTGTTCTGCAGTGGAGCCAGGAGAGAGCCAATGTGGTCAGATTGCTGGAAACACTCAGCTTGGAAACAGGATGGCCATAACTTTGGCTTTCGATACGGGTACATTTCCAGGGCCCCATGGCTCCTCCAAACCCCAGTGTACCCTCCTGCAGAGTCTATGTAATAATGAGGATTAGGGGTACAAAGTACAGTATCTAACTTCTGCTTAGTAAACGGCTGGCCTTCAACGTCTATGCCCTAGAACTTGGCATTAGACTTGTCATGGGGTCACCTCAGCCTCATTTTAATTGGTAGCATTTTCTTTTCTTTCTTTTTTTTTTTTTTTTGAGACAGAGTCTCACTCTGTTGCCCGGGCTAGAGTGAGTTCCATGGCATCAGCCTCGCTCACAGCAACCTCCAACTCCTGGGCTCAAGCGATCCTCCTGCCTCAGCCTCCCGAGTAGCTGGGACTACAGGCATGCACCACCATGCCCGACTAATTTTTTCTATATGTTTTTAGTTGGCCTATTAATTTTTTTCTATTTTTAGTAGAGACAGGGTCTCGCTCTTGCTCAGGCTGGTCTCGAACTCCTGACCTCGAGGGATCCTCCCACCTTGGCCTCCCAGAGTGCTAAGATTACAGGCGTGAGCCACCTCGCTTGGCCAATCAATAGCATTTTTGAAGGGGTCTAGTGATTCTTGCCTTTCTACTGAACAGCTACAGGAGTAAGCACTTTTTTTTCCCTCAGGAGTTCTGGAACTGTGTCCTTTCTTCTGTAAGAAAAAGGCCAATAATTCTCATGGCAGTTGATAGTCACTGACTTTTCAAAATTATATTTCCACTATCACCATTATATTCGATCAAGGCCATTTTGCAGGCTGGGCGCGGTGGCTCACGCCTGTGATCCTAGCACTCTGGGAAGCTGAGGCGGGCAGATTACTCGAGGTCAGGAGTTCGAAACCAGCCTGAGCAAGAGCGAGACCCAGTCTCTACTAAAAATAGAAAGAAATTAGCCAAACAACTAAAAATAGAAAAAATGAGCCGGGCATGGTGGCGCATGCCTGTAGTCCCAGCTACTCTGGAGGCTGAGGCAGGAGGATCGCTTGAGCCCAGGAGTTGGAGGTTGCTGTGAGCGAGGCTGACGCCATGGCACTCACTCTAGCCCGGGCAACAGAGTGAGACTCTGTCTCAAAAAAAAAAAAAAGGCCATTTTGCAATGCCTCACTATAATCTATAAATCCAGCGGGTGTTCATGAAACAGGATTAAAACTCTTCTTTCCTCTCTATAGTCACAGAATCATTACATTAAGAAATCCATCTGGCACTATATAGAAACTTAAATTTTTAATTCACGTAGATTATACAATGTCTATTCCAATTTATCAAAAATATGTATTAGACCATTGCTGAATTTGAATTCTAACAGGGACAAAGGATGATGTTTTTAGAAGTCCCACATGATAATTCCTAGCATTTATTAGGAGATTGTGAAATGCCCTAAATAGTGCTAGGTATTGCATATCTTAATAGATATTCATTTATCAACAACATTCATAAAATGTCTTTGTCGGTATTTTGCATGGGAATATAGCCCTCACCAAGACCATCATCAAAGTCCTGGGCTCAAGCGATCCTCCTGCCTCAGCCTCCCGAGTAGTTGGGACTACAGGCATGTGCCACCATGCCCGGCTAATTTTTCTATATATTTTTAGTTGGCCAATTAATTTTTCTATTTTTAGTAGAGACAGGATCTCGCTCTTGCTCAGGCTGGTTTCGAACTCCTGACCTTGAACGATCCTCCCGCCTTGGCCTCTTCTGGGCCTTAGGAGCTTGCAGTAGGGCAGGGAATGTGTAAGTGAACAGGCAATTTTTTGTTGTTGTTGTTTTTTGTTTTGAGACAGAGTCTCACTCTGTTGCCCAGGCTAGAGTGAGTGCCGTGGCGTCAGCCTCGCTCACAGCAACCTCCAACTCCTGGACTCAAGCGATCCTCCTGCCTCAGCCTCCCGAGTAGCTGGGACTACAGGCATGAGCCACCATGCCCGGCTAATTTTTTCTATATATTTTTAGTTGGCCAATTAATTTCTTTCTATTTTTTTAGTAGAGACGGGGGTCTCGCTCTTGCTCAGGCTGGTCTCGAACTCCTGACCTTGAGCGATCCTCCCGCCTCGGCCTCCCTCCCGGAGTGGAAGGATTACAGGTGTGAGCCACCACGCCCGGCCCAACAGGCGTTTTTTAAAACAGAGTCATGTGTTACCAGTGAGGTGTGTAGAAGCTTCTAGGTGGTGACAGAAGAGAGACACCAAACACTCCTTTGAAGTGGAGTCAGAGAAGTCTCAGCGATCATTCTTCTGCTAAACCTTGGGATAATCCTGAGCTGCAGGCATTGTTATTATCCCGGATGAAGGGAACAAAGGCTTCACAAAGCTACTGAAGTTTCTCAAATGTACACAAGTTTGTAAGCAAGTAGCAGAGGTAAAATTTGAACCCAGGTCTCAGACTCCAAACCCCATGTTCTTTCCACTAGCCCCCCTCATGGCAGTAACTTCTTTCTCTTAAGGTCTAGGACAGCCAAATTCTATAGATTTGGGGGGAGCATTACAAGTGCTTTAACTTTCAAGCACACCCTTAGCAGAATGAGTTAATTCGTGATTAAAACTATACAGAAGAGAGAGATGTTATTAGCATCAAGAAGGACAAAGTTATGTTTACATCCTTTGTATCTACATGGCTGTTCCCCTTCATTGGTGCAAGCAGAAAAAAATCTAGGAAGCTACATTTGTGCTGAGCCCGATAATACCCCCATATGTCTCCAAACCACTCCAGGAATGTTCTGGAACATCATAAGTCTTCTTCTTGCATTGGATACATACTCCCTGCCCAGGAAAAGGGGAAATGCTTAGAGTTCAAAATAACATATGTCTGTGGTTATCATCTTTTGCTTTATAAGTAATTTTGTGCTGTTCTTTTTTTTTTCTTTATTTCTAAATAGCCATTGATTATTATTCCTAAAGAAAATGAAGATAATTATATATTTTTGCATCTGGGCAGTTGCATGGGCCATTCCGGTAAGTATGCAAACAAGAAAACTTCCTCTTTTTGATATCTCTTTTAACCTAACACATATTCACACATACATGTAGACATACACACATATGTACGTATTTCCTTAAGACTTTGCAGATAAGGTGAGTCCAAACACTTAGATTGTCATTAAAGGCTTTTCGAGCTATGGTTGGGGTTGAAACGAAACTAAATATGCACTCCAATGCATGCTCCCAATCATCTAGTTGAAACTCATGTCCTGTCAGAAGGATTATTATTTTAAAAATGTATTCAGATGAATTTATTAATTCAGATAATTTATTAATTTATTAATTCAGATAATTTATTAATTTATTAATTCAGATAATTTATTAATGCCCAGAAGTCATGGAGACTTTGTCCATCTTTACTTCATGCTCTGTGAATTTCCTTCTAATATCACCAAAGTCTAGGGTGTTCAAGAAAGTTTTCAAGAAAGAATAATAGAAAAAGGTAGGATTTTCCAACATGTGGGATAACTAATGTTTCACTCAGAGAGTTATGATTCATGTGCTCCCTGTGGAAAATTTAGAATCTACAGAGAAAACACACACACACACACAAATTAGGATGATTAAACCATTTGTAATTTTATTAGCCAGCTTTCATGTTTAATATTTGCACATACTTTCATAATACCAAACATTTGGTGTTTATGTAGCTGAGAATTTTCTCTAGTACTTCCATTGTGCTCTTACGAAGCACAGAAGTAGTATATTACTTGATTTTGCTTCTGTAAGAAGCTTGTCGTGCAAAATTACCAAATATCTATCTGTTTGTCTTTATAAAAAGACAGTTGAGGCCGGGCGCGGTGGCTCACGCCTGTAATCCTAGCACTCTGGGAGACCGAGGCCGGAGGATTGCTCGAGGTCAGGAGTTGGAAACCAGCCTGAGCAAGAGTGTGACCCCGTCTCTACTAAAAATAGAAAGAAATTAGCCAAACAACTAAAAATAGAAAAAATGAGCCGGGCATGGTGGCGCATGCCTGTAGTCCCAGCTACTCGGGAGGCTGAGGCAGGAGGATCGCTTGAGCCCAGGAGTCTGAGGTTGCTGTTAGCTAGGCTGACGCCACGGCACTCTAGCCCGGGCAACAGAGTGAGACTCTGTCTTAAAAAAAAAAAAAAAAAAGACAGTTGAGATAAATGGTTTGGCTAATACTTCAATAAAATTGGTAATGCCATAGTGAAAAATATCCATATGCCCAATTTATTTATTTTTAAGAACTTCTGGCTTTATTTTTTTTTGTATAAATCATTTATTTATTTATTTCAGAATATTACATTTTCAGAATAAACCTTTTGGTTACATCAACTGCTTTTGTACCATTTGAGTCAAAGTTATGTGTGCCCATCCCCCAGATAGTGTGCATTGTACCCATTAGGTATGAATTTACCCATCCCCTCCCGTCCCCCTACCTATTTGATTTCCAATGAATGTTATTTCCATCTGTGCACATAAGCATTTTTTTTATTTCAATATATTATGGGGGTACAAATGTTTAGGTTACACATGTTGCCTTTGTCCCATCCAAGTGAGAGCTTCAAGCATGTCCATTCCCTCAATTTAAATTCTATATAATATTGTAAGAAGCCACTTCTCTTTTCTACTTGATGAGATAATACTTTGGCCTTTGTGTTATATATTTTTTTCTTTATTGAAGGAAAAATGTGTGTTTGTGTGCGTGCACATACATACACACAAAATAAGGATGTTTTCAATATCCAGTGTCTTCCCTTTGGCAGGTTCCTCACATCAAACCACTGGAGAGACATGCTGCTGAAAAGTCTGTGAATTTAAGTCTTCTAGCAAAATCAAAAGTGCCAGTACAGGTAGTGGATATAAAACGTGTTTCCTTTTATTTTCTATTCCTGAACTGGTTTTGGTTTCCATTAACTTCCCCCAAATTGCAGTCTGCATTACTTCAAGACGATTGATACTTATCGTTAATTTTGGTTGGTTTTTTTTTTATTATTTTTATTGTTTAAAAAATTTTAAAAATCTTAAATTTCTAAAAAATTTCTTACTTTTTTTTTTCTTTTTCTTTGACAAAGCTACTATGGTATTTGCACAAGGATGATGCTTATCGTTAATTTTGAATTGTTTCTCTTTTACAGGATGCATTGAATGCCAACGGTACCAGCAAAGAAAGCGGTTTCCCCACGCATGAAAGTGAAAGAGGAAGGCAGTGGTATGCCCAAGATGGTTACAAAGGAGAAGGGAATGGCTCCCAGTGGGCAGAAGTAGGAGGGAAGAGTTCCTCTACATATCACACGTTAGCAAACGGAGAGGGGGAGACTGAGGACTGGAATGGGGGCGCAGGAAAACCAGGCACATATGGTCACGATGGGATACACGAGAAAGAAGATGACACCACAGCAAGTGGCATTCTCAACAACGCCAGAGCAACAAATGGAAGCAATACTCATGGAAATGCTGATACAGATACAAATGGGGGTGTTGGAACTACAAGTCCGGGTGAGGATGCCACTGTTGTCCAAGAGGATGGAACTCAAGCAGCTGGGAGCAATCATCGTAGAGACCAGGAAGAGGAAATAAACAATCATCCCTGTGGAAATGGGAATGACATGGGAGGAATAACACCTCCGAATGAAGGCGAGAGAGATGGGGACAAGGAGGCTGGGGTAGTAACTCCAGGCAATGGAGAAGATGTTGGTCTGGATAATTCTCATGGGAGTCCTAGCGGGAATGGAACAGATGAAGATGAAGATGAGGGCTCCGGTGATGATGAAGGTGAAGATGGAGGGGATGGAAAAGAGGGCAGTGACAACAGCAAGGGCCAGGAGGGTCAGGACCATGACGAAGAAGATGACAGTGACAATAGCATAGGTCAAAATTCCATTAGTAGGGAAGATGGTGACCTGGGAGACAGAGAAGACCCCCATAATGACAATGACAGAGAAAACACCTCCAAGAGTGAGGAGGATTCTCACGGTGTTCCAGAAGACAGTGGCAGCCAAAGAAAAGAGGACACCCAGAAACTCAGTCACCAAGAAAGCAAAGGTGCTGAGAACGGAATCACCAAAGAACCAGAGCCAAATGCTGTTGGGAAGAGCCAAGATAAGGTTGGTTTGTGACGGAAATTTCTTTCAATGGCAACTTAAAACCCTTCCTCTCCAACCTCTGAGGATCTCATAAAAATAAATCATTACAAGCATCTGTGTATTTTTGCGTCCATATTATTTGGATATTTGATGGGAAAGCTATAGAGTCCTTAGTAGACTTTGACACAGAACAATTTTAAAAATCAGGCGTTGCCGAAAAATTTGGTTACGGTTCTAGAAAAGTCTTATGCTAAATAACGGATCCGCCATGCAATTTTGTGAAAAAGTCCCTACTGGGTAGGAATGGGGATTCGTTGTTAAAGAATCTAAACATCAGAGTAGTTTAAAATACTGAATTAAGCCTGTTTTCATCAATAACTGTTTGTGAAGTGCTGGAAGCTGGCCAGTCAGTCTTCCTTAGATCAATGCAAATTTTGCCGCAAATATTAACAAATTCATTATTCTTTTCTCCACCCTTCCATAGGGAACAGAGATCAAAGGTCCCCACGGTGGCGACGGAAATGCCACCAAAGAAGCTGGGGAAGACAAAGACAGGAAAGGACGGCGTGGAACGGGCGAGGGCAAAGGAAGCGTCCAGACACAAGGAGAAGTTGACAAGGTCCAAGGACCCGGCCCGAGACCAGAACCAGGAGACAGAGCTGGACGCAGCAAAACAGGCAGTGACAGCAACAGCGACGGGTATGACAGCTACGATTTTGACGACGGGCCCATGCAACGAGACGGCCCTGACAGCAGCGACGAGTCTAACGGCAGCGAGGGTGCTAATTCAGGAAGTGACAGTGACAGCGGCGGCCGAGGAGGTGCTTCTTATGACTCAGATGAATCGAGAGATGACGGCGACGGCAGTGACTCAAAAGAAGGAGGCGATGATGGTGACAGCACATCAGACTCTAATGACAGTGACAGTAACGGCAACGGTGGGAGCGATGACAGTGACAAGTCAGACAGCAGCAAAGGTAAATCAGAAAATAGTGACAGCAGTGACAGCAGCGATAGCAGTGACAGTAGTGATAGCAGTGACAGTAGTGATAGCAGTGACAGCAGTGACAGCAGTGACAGCAGTGACAGTAGTGATAGCAGTGACAGTAGTGATAGTAGTGACAGCAGTGACAGCAGTGACAGCAGTGACAGTAGTGATAGTAGTGACAGCAGTGATAGTAGTGACAGCAGTGACAGCAGTGACAGTAGTGATAGTAGTGACAGCAGTGACAGCAGTGATAGTAGTGACAGCAGTGACAGCAGTGACAGCAGTGACAGCAGTGACAGCAGTGACAGTAGCAATAGCAGTGACAGCAGTGACAGTAGCGACAGCAGTGACAGCAGTGACAGCAGCAATAGCAGTGATAGCAGCGACAGTAGTGACAGCAGTGACAGCAGCAATAGCAGCGACAGCAGTGACAGTAGTGACAGTAGTGACAGCAGTGACAGCAGCAATAGCAGCGACAGCACTGACAGCAGTGACAGTAGTGACAGCAGTGACAGCAGTGACAGTAGTGACAGCAATGACAGCAGTGATAGTAGTGACAGTAGCGACAGCAGTGACAGCAGTGACAGTAGTGACAGTGACAGCAAATCAGACAGTAGTGATAGCAGTGACAATGACAGTAAGTCAGACAGCAGCAATAGCAGTGACAGTAAATCAGACAGCAGTGACAGCAGTGACAGTAGCGACAGCAGTGACAGCAGTGACAGCAGTGATAGCAGTGACAGCAGTGACAGCAGCAATAGCAGTGACAGTAGTGACAGCAGTGACAGCAGCGATAGCAGTGACAGCAGCAATAGCAGTGATAGTAGTGACAGTAGTGACAGCAGTGACAGTAGTGACAGCAGTGATAGTAGTGACAGCAGTGACAGCAGTGACAGCAGCGATAGCAGTGATAGTAGTGACAGCAGTGACAACAGTGACAGTAGTGACAGCAGTGACAGCAGTGATAGTAGTGACAGCAGTGACAGCAGCGATAGCAGTGATAGTAGTGACAGCAGTGATAGCAGTGATAGTAGTGACAGCAGTGACAGCAGTGATAGTAGTGACAGCAGTGATAGTAGTGACAGCAGTGACAGCAGTGACAGCAGTGACAGCAGTGATAGCAGTGATAGTAGTGACAGCAGTGACAGCAGTGATAGTAGTGACAGCAGTGATAGTAGTGACAGCAGTGACAGCAGTGACAGCAGTGACAGCAGTGATAGTAGTGACAGCAGTGACAGCAGCGATAGCAGTGATAGTAGTGACAGCAGTGATAGTAGTGACAGCAGTGACAGCAGTGATAGTAGTGACAGCAGTGACAGCAGTGACAGCAGTGACAGCAGCAATAGCAGTGATAGCAGTGACAGCAGCGACAGCAGTGACAGTAGTGACAGCAGTGACAGCAGTGACAGCAGCTCTGAAAGCAGTGATGAGCGTGACAGCCAGAGCAAGTCTGGTAATGGCAACGACAATGGAAGTGACAGTGACAGTGACAGTGACAGTGAAGGCAGCGACAGTAACCACTCAACCAGTGATGATTAGAACAAAGGCAAACCCCACACGATCCCACTCGCAGAGCACTTGGCGAGTACTCGGTGGGAGACAGAGATGCCCGAGAAAGCACAGGGAGGGGAGAGATGAACAGAGGACGTCCGCAAACACCCACAAAAACAATTAGGGGAATCGAGTCAAACTGTCGGATTTGGAACCAAGTCCCTGCACCTGTATAGAGAGAATCTGAATGCATGACCTTGGGTACATGCGTGTTAAAAGAAATTGTTCTGAAAATATTGTGTTAAAAAGTGTAAATCGAAACATAAAAGAACAATACACAGAAACCTCCAGTAATCACTATAAATAATTTCAATTTAAATGTCATAGGCTTTAGAGAACGTAGCGAGAAAACACATCTTACAAACAACGGTGGCTTTGCCTTCAGCCTCCAGTAATTATGTATTCTGCAGACACGGGCTGCTTACCACTCAGTAAAAGATGCTATTCTGTGATAATCCAGCTTGCCTGCTGATTTATCTGCTTTTTATAAGGAAGAAATATATTTGTAACATGAAAAAAAAAATCACAGCAACTATTTAACTTATCTGGGCCACGGCAATAATCTTTCTAATGATCAGAGTAGTTATTATAAATTACAGAAATTCTAAAGAGTGCTCGTCAGAAAAGAATTCAGAGGCTGGTTGATGCTTAAAATCTGATGGATAGCATCTGGCGTTAAAATCTGATATGCAAGATGACATTTTGGCAAGCCACTGGAAATTTAGGACAAAGCGTCTAAAACTATCGACAAACCGGATCCAATGCTCGGAACAGTGTCTGGATTCCAATAGCGACTGTCCAAATATTAATAAGGAAATGAATACATGAATGGATCGCTTTGGCGGAGTGTCACTTTTCGAGCTCTATGTTTAGAACTCTGCTCAGTGGTGTCAATTATGTCTCTTCACATCAGTCTCGCCAAGTCAAATTTGGTTCCCATTTTCCTTTCAAACCTCGATGTGCCCAAACTTCCAAACCAGACCCTCAGAATCCCTTCCCACTATTAATCTCTTTAATAAAGCCAACATTGCCAGTGGATGATGCTTTGGAAAACTTCTCTTTCTTATTTGGGGGTCATTTATGCAGTTACAATGTGACCAAAGACCATTCAGCTTCTGCATAAATGAGGGTAACTCTTAGGCTCGAGGTGAAGCTCAGACCCTAGAAAATGAGGATCTTAATGGTGTATCGGAATACGGAGTGACATTTTAACAGGGTGGAGACATAATTTGTCATCTAAACTAGGGAATTTGTGAGAGTGAAAGGGGTGATATGAGGAATTACATGGAGACAGGAGGTGTAAATTTTGATTTTTCCAGGGAACCTGGAGACACTCTGACCCTAACTCGTAAACCTACAGGGTATTTTTCGAGATTCAACAGAGATGCTTTGCAATCTCCCACTTTTTCCATTTAGGCAATTATCTTAGATATGTTCACATGCAAAGCTAGAAATCTATATAGTGAATTTATGCATGCAACTTCTTTAATTTTCCAACCAGTCATTAGCTGACAATTTATGGTCTAATATTAGGCATATTTTACACAAAGAGTTTCGAGAAGTTGTTGAGGTTTTTTTTCCTTCCTCCTTCCTTTATGGAAGAATTTCTTAGTTAAGAGATCAACATTGCAAGGAATATTGTTGAAAGCTCTAAAAATATTATTAGTAAACTTTTTGGTAACTCTCAATAGTGTAAAATCTCAGGTTTCTGCTAAATCACAGTCAGGTAATGACTCCAAACTTCTTTCCTTAAAATATGCTCTATCTAGGTTTTTGATTCCTTTAAACTTCAGGGTTTGTTTGTTGCATTTTGTTTCAATCTGTAAAGCACTACCTTTAGTCTCTGTGACATTTATTTTCAAAGATTGTTACGAGCACTCAGGCCATGGATGTGGAACTCTTTGTAAGCTGTACAAGATGTAAATGAAAGAGGTAAATTTTAGGTGTTATTAAAGTATCTATTTATACAACTGCTCTCTTCATTCTAATGAGTTTTTAAATATTTACCCACTCCATCACAAAATCTGATGTATAATATTGTTTCTTTTACAACTTAGCTATTTTTAATTGAAAAAGCAATATATGTATATACATAAAATAAAAATTTCAAATGCTATAAAAAGGTATTATTACAAAAGTATTAAATCTTGACCAGTGTAGACTCCCAGGCCTCTGTTTCTCACCCCTAAAAGCAATTCCTATTACTAACATCCTGTAAAATGTTTCCAAAATATTACATGCACATATAATATTTAAAAATATGTGGAAGTCTACACAATGTGCTCCTCTTACATTTTTCAGCTTGACAATATGTCTTAAATATTGGTTCATGGCACACAGAGTAACCTCATTCGGTTTTCCTACAACAATTTTGATTTCATTTTATGAAATGCCCTAAAGTATTTAATCTGCTTTTAGTGTTCCATCACTTTCTAAGCCATTTCCAGTCTCAGAATAATCTCGGCAGCTATTAGCTGAGATAATAGCCTGAGATGGATACATTTTAGCCAGTTCTTATAAAGATTTCGCCTTAAGAAGTTTTTTCAGGGGTGGAGGGTGTTCAAAATCAGGGCTAATCTCAGAAATGAAGAACGACTGTGTTCATGATTTTCTTTTTTCTTTCTTTTTTTTCCTTCTTTTTTTTTGAGACAGAGTCTCGCTCTCTTGCCCAGGCCAGAGTGCCGTGGCGTCAGCCTAGCTCACAGCAACCTCCAACTCCTGGCCTCAAGCGATCCTCCTGCCTCAGCCTCCCGAGTAGCTGGGACTACAGGCATGCGCCACCATGCCCAGCTAATATTTTCTATATATTTTTAGTTGGCCAATTAATTTCTTCCTATTTTTAGTAGAGATGGGGGTCTCGCTCTTGCTCAGGCTGGTTTCAAACTCCTGACCTTGAGCGATCCTCCCTCCTCGGCCTCCCAGAGTGCTGGGATCACAGGCGTGAGCCACCGCGCCCCCACCTTGATTTTCTTTAATAATCACATCTGCTTCGACTTCTAGATCGTTGAGGCAAGAATGGAGCAGACAGACTCCAAAAGAACATAGATACTTTGAACACAAGAACTCTGGGGTTAGGAGACAAAATTTATTTTGAGTAATGTTCCGGAATAGAGCCTAATAAACTATCTACTAATATTGCCTGTAGGGGCAGTATTTTTTTAACCTGCAGGTTTCCACTACTTTAATAGATCACAATATTAATTTAGTGAATCATGACAACTATTTTGGAAAATGAAAGAATAAAAAAGAAAAATCATAGTTCATCATATGTAGTGCTTAGTGAAACTCGGTCATCTCTATCTATATGTGTACATATATAGATACGTACACAAATATGTATGTGTGTATGTCTATCCAAGTACACATATGCTAGGGCATGATGTAAAATGTTTTTCTTACTGTTGGTTGCCATTAAAAATGTTTGAAAGCCATTGGTTTAGAAAAGCATTACTGCTAGTAGTCATTTTACATTTGTTTTTCACACTCACTTTTTTCCTTATAAATCTCTAACCTTCGTTCCCACTTTGGAAGCAGAGATTTAAAAATAAAAAAGAAAGAAGGAAGGGTGTACATATGGAGGGGGAAGGCAAAAAACAGTGGTGGGATGGTTTCTGATTTATCTGCACCACAGCAAAAGAGCCAAAGAAACACCGTCACCCTTAGGCAAGAGTCTTTCGGGATGGGGCAGGTAGAGTTGTTGGGAATTCAAGATTTCTTTCTGGTTGCATGGTTTATTACTCCACGTGGGACTGAAGATGCAAGATCTTAACACTTAACTTAAAATTAACTCAGAGCTGGTCTTGTCCTCCGCACCTGGCTGGGAATTCCTTCCACACCTGCTCATACCATGAATCAGGAAACGTAGTAAGAGGTTTTGTCATTGCTGCTGTAATCATACAATCTGCTTCTTACATTAAAAGATAACCTTAGGCCAGGCACAGTGGCTCATCATGCCTGTAATCCTAGCACTCTGGGAGGACTAGGCGGGAGGATCGCTTGAGCTCAGGAGTTCAAGACCAGCCTGAGCAAGAGCAAGACCCCAACTCTACTAAAAATAGAAAGAAATTAATTGGCCACCTAAAAATATATAGAAAAAATTAGCCGGGCATGGTGGCGCATGCCTGTAGTCCCAGCTACTTGGGAGGCTGAGGCAGGAGGATCGCTTGAGCCCAGGAGTTGGAGGTTGCTGTGAGTGAGGCTGATGCCACAGCACTCTAGCCCAGGCAACAGAGTGAGACTCTGTCTCCAAAAAAAAAAAACAACAACAAAAAAAGATAACCTTTATAAAAGCATACCTCACCATATAAAAGACAGTTGAAACTATTAACTGGAGTGGAATGTCCCAGAAGTCAAACTTGCTTTGTGATTTGTAATGGAAGTTTTGAAAAACTTTAGACCAAAATAACCAGGGACAATTTTCCTTTCCCTAAAAGGAGGCGGAACAGAAGAGAACAGTGCAGTCAGAGATGAAAATACCGTTGTGATCACTGTGTTCTCTCAGTGATCCATTCACGGCTGCTTGGGAGCAAATCCTCTAGAGAATGAGACAAGTCAATAACAGAGTGTTCCCAACCTCTCCCCTCTGAACGGGGATCTTGGGTTCAGATGCAAAAAAAAAAAAAAGAGTTAATTCCTATGGGACACTGTTGTAGCTCAGAAAAATGATATAGAATCTAAAAATCACCAGGACATTAAATTCGTTCTGTTTTCCATTGGTTGGCACAGTGCCAACTCTAGCACGGGACACTGAATTTACAGAGCCCCATTATTTTGAACTTTGCAACTGGTGCTACCCTCCCTTCTTTTTTTTTGACAGAGTCTCACTCTGTTGCCCGGGCTAGAGTACCATGGCATCAGCCTCGCTCACAGCAACCTCCAACTCCTGGGCTCAAGCCATCCTCCTGCCTCAGCCTCCCGAGTAGCTGGGGCTACAGGCATGCGCCACCGTGCCCGGCTAAAATTTTCTATATATTTTTAGTTGGCCAATT